TTCCTCCTTCTTTCTCACACTTTTTTACTTGCTCCAGTATAGGTGCTTCCCATGGGCTGCAGTCCTACAGGATAACTGAGCTCTAATGTAGGCTTCTCCATGGGCTGTAGATCCTCTTAGGAGAACCAGCTCCACCTCTGGAGTGCTCCTCTCCACTGGCTGTAGGGACTAACCTGGAGCATGTTCTCCTCATTCTTCTGACTGTGGTGTTCATGGAGCTGATTTGCTCTTTTTTTTGCCCTTCTCAGCCTTAGTGGATTTTTGCATTGAACACACAAAGACAATTTTACTGTGGAGTTTTATAGATGCTGCATTTTTTATCTTGTTGGAGTTGGTTGATACCAACCAGCATCTAAACACTCACCAGCCACTTGCTCACTCCCTGCCAGTGGGATCTGAGAGAACAGGAGGAGCGAAAGCAGGAATACTTGTTGGGTTGAGATAAAGGCAGTAGAATAATTGAAAGAAAGAGGAAGAAAAAAGAAAATAAGTGATGCAAAGGCAATCACTTATCACCTCCCACAAGTTGACCGATGCCTGGTGACTCTCCAAGTGATGACTACCTCCTCGTTTACCCTCTTTAATTGGGTTTCCAGTTACTCTGACCCCCAGTTATACTTAAAGCAGTGTGAAATACAGAGTCTCCTGGCAATTTCCCAAAAGTTTGGAGCTAAGCTCCTGCAGATTTTAGGCTGACATCCAACTCCAAATGGTAGAGTCTCAGTGAGAGAGGATTTACTGCAGCCCATTCCTCAGTTCCAGGGCTGATTGTGTTTTTTCTTCAAAGGGAACATATTTCCAGATAGACATTCCCTGACTTCTCCTTCTAGCTATTGAATTTTCATTTCTGTGTACTGTTAAGTTTCTATCTATGATGACTTTTTTTTTTTTAATAGAGAAAACTAAAGACAGTTCATTAATGAACTAAATTTCATTAAACTATACATGAATCATGGCTCAATGTTTGGAGAAGCATGAACAAAGAAGTCCTTTTCCATGTTCTGTGTTGTTACAAGGGGAAATTCTCTACAATTTTCATGAGATTGACTTTGAGAGGTGGCTTTATTTGTAGCCATTCTGGATGAACTTTGTTGTAACTGGCAGGAAATAATTCCATATCCACATTGTTATCTCAGATCTCCAAGACACCTTGTCAGCAGGCTGGGCTCCTTGTGGATACTGGCACTGCTGAAGAACTCAAGCCCAACAGGACTCATATACTCTGCTTTACCATTATGAGATCAGAACCTCTTGCTGCTGCCTGTAGTTTCTGTTCCAGATAAAGTAGTCTGCTCCTAGGTGACTTAAATAGATTGCCTTTCCCTTACAAATGAATTCAAATGGATCAAGGGAGCTGTGCCCCGGACTAAAAAAGCATAAATGTGCTCACAAATATACATGTGCACTCAATCACAGGGCTGCTTTGGAAAAACGAAGATTAAAATAATGGTAGTCTAGATAGGACTGAAAATAGTCTAGGCTTCGAATATATCGGTTCCCAGTTATTCAGTTATCTGGGATATACAACAAAATAAAGAATGGAGAAACAGATTTTTGAACCTCTTGAGGTTGAATTACTGAGAAATGGTTCCTTCTGCACCCAGAAGGAATCATGCTGTGCATCAGTGCGGGCTGGGACTGAGCTGTCCCTGTAGGGACCCACTGGAAAAAATGGGGGGCTTACAGTGAATGCTAGCTTCAGTGCAATCCAACCATTGCTCTCATCACAGATGGGGCAAAGTGCATCCAGAGTTGCATTTGGAGTAGTATTGCAAGATGTTACAGTGTTACAATGATTGTTCCCCTTTGCATGGGGTCTAGTTTGGGATTTCGAGTCCAAGAGAGATACAAAGAAACTGGAGAGGAGACTGTGGTGGGTTGTGAGATGGTCAGGACCTGGAGTACAGGTCCTGAGAGAACACACCAAAGGAGCTGGGCTGATTTTTGTGGGTAGAGGCCATAGCTACAGCAAGGACAATTACACAAATGATTATGGTCTTGTCCATAAGCTAAAATGGCATAGAAAGGGGCAATGGCTATAGCTATGGTTTTGGAAGGTGGGCTGGATATTATGTTGGTGTTTCCAAGGAGGGTGTGCATCCCTGGTACTGACCTTGGGGTGTGAGGGACCTGTGGCACTGAGTGGTTTCAAACATTGTCTGCACAAAGCCACAGCTGTTCTGACTAGCATTGGTACCAAGAAAAAGTTGTACTGAAGAAATCCAGAGGTCCACTTCTGTGCTGCTCAGTTCAAATGGGGGTTTTGATACAAGGAGTTAAGTGGCAATGAATATTTCAGGGGACAGATCCTTCTGTTAATTCTCATCAAGAATTTCTCCTCTCTCAGGTATGATCTCTGCATCACATCACTGAATGGTGCTCTGTACACCATAGGAGGGGAAGCTTTTCGATTTGATGTGGAAACAGATGAGTGGACCCACGTGGATGAAGAATGCTTGACCCAGAAATTCTTCATGGGGTGCTGCACTGTGAATGGACAAATTTATCTGCTTGGGCAGAGAAAGGGTAACAGTGCTCTCCCAATTGTTGTCCTCTTTGATCCCTATGTTGATATGTGCCAGGTCATAGACAACAAACTCCCATGTCCCCTTCCTATTCATGGCTGTGTTTCTGTGCGAAGGTTTGATACGTAGGCTAAGTGATGTCAGATCTGGCATAACCACGAAGAAAAATTTGTGTCTTACAGCCAGTGGGAACTGGATTGTATCAAATTTGGTTTGTGAAATATGTTAAATTTTGAAAAGAGATCTCTTTCCTCCCTAGCTTTGTCTCTTTTTTTTCTACCTGGCGATTGATCTTTAAGAAAAAGTGAAAGCTTTGCAATTACACATGAGTTGGAAATAGCAGTCAGTCTTAAAGGCACACAAACTCCTCAGAGTCAATGCTACTCAAAGGGCTGCTCTGTGCTCCGACTCCTCTGCTTCTCTTTGTGCAGTTGGGAGAGACAGGAAAGTCATTGCATCAGATATAAAATTAAAAATTGTAGATGTAAAGCAATAAATGTGTGTCAAGCGAATTTTCAGCAGTACATCTGGGCACATATTACTGCAGGACAAATTTAAAAGCAAAGCAAAAATACAACTGCAGCCAAGCCATAACAAGTATCATCATAAAGTATCATTTTAGCTTCAAATAATCTTCCCATGTTCTGTCAGAATGGTTAAAATTACCTTTATTCGAGCCTAGAGAGCCCCACAGAAGGAGGAGGGCTATTCTGGGTTTGTGTATTTGGGAATGTGATGATAACCACTCACCAATGGGGCAACTCAGAATTCCACTTCCCTCTCCTTGGTCCCCTTTGGGTTCATTGCTTTGCAGTCCCAGCATAAAAATGCCCTTCCCATCCCAGTGGCTGAATGGGGGTGCAAGAAGCTCTTTCATTAAAGACTCCTTTCTTCAGTGTGACGCAGCAACATTGAAATGTCAGCTCTTTCATTTTTCCTAACCTGTAAAATATGTCAGATGCCACGGAAGCATATTCAAAGCCTAGGTAGAAAACAGCTTTAAAGACATCATTTGTAAGTTTCTAATTATTCTCTGTAGACTAAATATGAATAGATTTATCTGCCTCTGAAGCATCCAAGCCTTTGTGTTACTGGTGATGTCAGATCTGTGGCAGGTCTCTGACCAGACTTTCTGATTGATACATGAACTGAGATTGCTGATACTAAAAAAAAAGAATGCATCATTAGAAGTCAAGGTAAACCACTCTTTGGTTCAGGTGCAATTCATTCCTATATAGACTTTAAGTCTTATGTTCTTTCATAAATTCGTTACAAAGTGAATGGTTATCCAAAATAGAGAAAACCCGTATAATATTCCAACAGAATTAATACACTCCTATGGAATATTCCCATTCAGACTAACTTATAATCTCTGGCAGAAAAGCATGCATTTAGAAGAGTTCCAGTTGCTTTCCATTTCAGGAGCATTATCCCAAGGTACATATTGAGTTAAGCAAAACCTTTTAGACACGATCTGTTTCACACCATTCCCACAGCATACACAACAACCATCAGCTGGCTGGGCCTTGGCTATGGGAACAGTCCATCCTTGCCCCAAAGCCTGGCCATTTTAGACTACAAAACTGAAAACTTATGTCAAGGTTAAAGCAGGAGCTGTTCCCATGCAACTGTTCTCATAAGGCGGCAAGCAACAGCTGTTGGTGTCTTCCAGAATTACAAGTTTGTTAAATGTTCAACAGTTTCCAGTAAGACTTTGGCTGATAGATCATAAGTGACCATAGAATAGTAGTAAAGCAATGCTCCTGACAGAAGTGAAGAAAACATCTCCTAAAGTTACTTATTGCCTGGAAACAGCATGATGAAATTTAAGAGGTCTGCTCAAAAAGTAATGCCTCCTACTTTATGATGTCAGAAGCGGACATCAGAGGGATGGCAGTAGAGGCTGAACCTTCCCACCAATATCCCATTACATTTTGTTGCTGTGTAACAGATGGCAGCAGAGGGGAGGTCTGACAGGATGGGTCTGACATGGGAGCGTGGATGAAGCAAAGGGACGTCATTGAATTCCTTCATGCAAAACAAATGGCACCATTGACATCCATTGATGTTTACTGAACATTTATGGAGACCAACGAGTGAATGCAGCACAGAGAGGGGAGTGTGGTGCATTTCAGCAGTGGGTCAGGGGTCACTTCCGATGGTGCAGATTTGTTTGAGTGCAGCACGCAGCTCCTGTTCATAATTGATGAAAATGCACAGCTAGTGGTGGAGACTGTGTTAAGAAATAGCATTTTGTAGCTGACAATTTGCTCTATCAAGTAGCGTTACTGTACTCCTTGTATCTGTTACAGTTTCCGTGGAAGAAAATAGGAAGCATTACTTTCAGAGCAGCCAACGTAGATGTTAGATGGTGCTTTGTGTGTATCACTGTGGAGGGGTCTATGAGTCTGTCTGGCCTCTTCCTCCGGGTCCTATTCAGCCTCCGTACTTTTAAGACTCTCTGGCTCTTGGTGTTTGATAACAAACTTGTGCTACTTGTTCTTTGCTGCATCCTCTGCTTCGCTCCCATCGCTTTCCTCAGTGTCACTTCTTGCATCTTTTTTTTTCTGTAGGAAAGAAAGATGGTTTAAATGAGCTGCAGAACCTCTGCTGTGCTGTATTATATAGTCTTGCTTTCGTTCAGAGCACTGATGAAATAACCTGAGAGGTATAATAAAAGTAATAGGTGAGCGCAGGTCCTTAATGTGGTAATTGTCCCTGTATTTGGAAGGCTGAAACAGTCAAGTGTTTCTGTAGCATTTGAATGCACTTTTTGGGTGATCCTGACAATGTTCTTGTAATGTGACCTTCTGAAAACAAGTTTTATTAATATAGTGACTACAGAAACTGCTGGATACGCTGAATGGCACAAAGTGGGCCAGCCTCTAAAGGAGCTGAGCCAAATACAAAGAGAGAGCTTAGTCCTCGCATAGGTAAAACTGAAAGTGGAACTTCTCTCTCATTGCTTTGTGAGTGCATAGCCTAGTTTGGATTTTATACATTGATATATACACTCACAAATGTATGTGCCTGTATTTGGGGTCATAGGGTAAGTCATATTGAAAAGGGACTTCAGGTGATCGTGTAGTCCAACCTCTTCCTCAAAGTGTGCCCAGCTTTGATGTCAGACCAAGTTTCTCAGGAAGAAGGGCACTGCACTGCCTCACGGAATCACTCAGCACCACATTGCAGTGGTTGGAAGGGACCTCAAGAGATAGTTGGCTCCAACCCCCTGCTAAAGCAGTTGCCTACAATAGGTCACAAAGGTAGGCATCCAGACAGGTCTTGAATATCTCCACAGAAGGAGACTCCACCACCCCTATGGGCAGCCTGATCCTGTGCTGCATCACCCTTACCGTAAAGAAGTTCTTTCACATGTTAATACAGAACTTCCTATGTTCAAGTTTTAGGCCATTACTCCTTGTCCTGTCACTGTGCTCCACTGAGAAGAGCCTGGCCTCATCCATTTGCCTCCCACTTCCCTTCAGACATTTATAAACATTTATGAGATCTCCCCTCAGTTTTCTTTTCCCTAGACTGCACAGAGCCATGTTACTCAGCCTTTCCTCATACAAGAGTTGCTCCTGGTCCTTTATCATCTCTGTGACCCTCTAATGGACTCCTAGGAGATGCCCGTCTGGGGAGCCCAGAACTGGACACAGTATTCTGAATGTGCCCTCCCCAGGGCAGAGCAGAGAGGAGGACCGCCTCCCTTGTCCTGCTGGCCACACTCAGTGCAGTACATCCCATTAGATCACAATCCACTCCCTAAGCAACCTCTTCTGCTGCTTTACTGCCCACACCATGAAGTTTTTCTTCATATGTAAATTGAAATGGTCATGTCAGCTTTTGTCTATTGTTTCTTGTCCTCTCATTGTTCTTCCCTAAGAAGAACCTGGCTCCTCCTTCTTAAAAACTTCCCTCTAGATGTGGGAAGGCTTTTAGTGGCTTCTCCTAAAAGCTACCGAGTCCATTTCCCTCAGCCCCTCCTCACAGGTTGTGTACTTCAGCCCCTCACTATCTTGGTGGCAGTTTGCTGGATGTCTGTGTATTGTTGTCACTTTCTTGTATTGCACTGGATGACCCAAATCTGGACACAACAGATGAGGTGTCATGCTATTTGCTGGCTATGCTCCTTGTCATGTAGCCCAGGACTGTCTTGGCTTTCTTTGCCACCAGAGCCCACACTTGATTTGTGTCCATCTCCAAAACACAGAGGTTCTTTTCTGCCCTACAGCCCTATTGTGTTCTGGCAGAGGATTCTTTCTCACCAGGTGGAGGATTTCTGATTTTTCCTTGTTGACCTCCTTGGGGTTACCAACAGCCAAATGCTCCATCTTCCTTGAGCTGTTCCAGGTAGCAGCAGTGCCCTTGAACACATTGACTGCTCCTCATTTTGCCATCATATACAAACTAGATGAAAGTATGCTCAGTTTCATCCTTCAGAGAAACTATTTTTTCTCTTCATCTAATTTAATGAGGGTGCAGCTCAGTGTAAGCTGAAGACGTAACACCAGCAAACAAAATACCCAAGAAGAGAACTGCTTCTCTCATCTTCACCATCAGAGATGCCCATACAACCCTCAGCACGTGACTTCAGTTCTGAAGTTCTTGGGCTGTTTGGTTGGGCAGCCCCTTTTTTTCCCACCCTTTCCTTGCAGGTGTGCAGAACCATGCTGGATCTTGTGGTCATGGAGGAGAAAAAGATTTTTCTTACCGCACCATACAGGATGACACCAAAGGTCATCCGGAGGATTAGATAGGACCAGAAAATGTGCAACAGCTGCAGGATCACCAGGAAAGCATTTATCAGGCAGCTTAGGAAGAACATCTCAAATTTTGTCACATAGTAATGGTATGTGCTGTGGGAGAGAGAGAGCAACAAATGAGAAGAGACAAGACTCCAGCAGGTTGTGTGCCTTCACACTTACAAGAGTCAAGAATCTTTCTGGACAGATATTTGTCTCCTGGGTCCCCTGGGCAGAGATGAGCTGTGCTTGGACTGGGAAATCATGCTTCACTTTGGTACTTTCTTGCTCTGCCCAAGAAACAGACTCTACCAGCTCTGGCAAGCACGTCCCAGGTCACAAAAGACATGCAGTGACTCTTAAAATTGCCAACCATCCCATAGTGTTCACAGACAGGCTGCTGGTTGGAAACCTGCAATGCCTTCCAGGAGCAGCAGGCAGTGCTTCTCCCTGTGTTGGAGCTGGAGCTGGGTGTCTATGACAGCGTGTAACCATGCCAGCATGGGACACAACCACAGCCTGGGGACGAAGGGCAGTTTGTGACTCAAGGTTAATTTATAGCTAACAATCCTCAGCTTTCCTTCTCAGTTCCCCCAGTTCTAACTGGATTTGTCTTTGAGCTTACCTGGAATGTTCTGTTCGTTAAAACATAACTCACATTAGTGGGAAAATGACAAGGCGGGAGCTGATGAACACCACAGCGAAAACTATAAAGACAGCTTCACAGACCCGCTTCCATTTCATGTAATGGAGAACCTTGGCCAGCTGTAGAGAGACAAAGAGCCATATATCTCATGTGGCAGTGTGCTCCTTCTCCCATCCCTCTCCTGCAGGACTGCAGGGATTTCCCATGAGCTGATGGGTTATCAGATTTGTTGGTTGATGTCCCAGTTGTGCACTCACTCACTTTCCCCCAGGAGAAGTAAATCTGATGCTTCCTGGCCCTCCCACTGCACAGATCATGTGTAGCAATGCACTACTGACAGATGTGAGCAGGGAACTGCATTCCTGAGTGAGGGGAACTCACCTCTAGAAGGTAATCAGAGGCATCGTGGACCAGCATGATCATCACCCCAAGCCGTATCAGGTTGGCACAGTAGGATACAAAGATGAGAGTGATGGTGGCAATGTGGTGGATGATCTGTTCCTTGAAGTCCTGTAAGGAGAAGACAGAGTGTCTTGACCTGGCAGTGGGTGTTTGTGGATGGTGCTGCCTTGTTGGATGTGGAAAACACCTCCATGAAGCATCAGCCCTTTATGCTCCTTATTTTCCTCCTATGCTGTACATGGGCTCACCCTTCCATGTATTGAAGAGCTGTGTGTGGTAACCGTAGATGCTTTTGGCCTGGGGCAGGACCTGCCCACTAGCCACAGTGGAGGCAGTGCCTGGACTCCCCAGCACTGCCCATGGAGAGGAACCAATGGGGGTGGCTGGAGATGCTGCGGGTGGGAACGTGCCTTCCCATGTGGAAACAGAGAACCTTGCAACAAGGACAAGACTATACATGCAAAGGTAGTCATATAATTGAGTTGGGAGGGATCATTGCAGGTCATCTAGTCCAAACCTCCTGCAATGAACAGGGCCACCTACAGCTTGGTCAGAATGCTCAGAGCCCTGTCCAGCATGGGGTACAAAGCATGAACCCTGAGTGCTCTGCAGAGGTGATGAGATGCCCAGCTCCAGCTCTGGCCCATATAGCAGCTTCCTGCTGCTCCTGGGAGGCACTGCAACTTTCCAGCCAGCAGCCTGTCTGCAAACACTATGGGATGGTTGGCAATTTTAAGAGTCACTGCATGTCTCCTGGAACATGCTTGCTAGAGCCGGGTAGAGTCTGTTTCTGGGGCAGAGCAAGAAAATGTAATTGTCAAATTAAACAATCATCAATGAAATGAAACTGAGTTTGAACCACAGTTCTGTGCAGCCTATACTGCAAACCAGGGCACGTAGGGAGGGGCAGAGGTGGCTGTTGGGTCTGTGGGTCCCAGAAGGCCAGCACATCCCACTGCTCAGGATACACCATGCAAGCAATACGTGCATTAACAGGACCCTGGTCTGTCCCATCAGGAGGACAGAGCTTTCTGGTTCTGGGAGCCAGAAGGGAAGGGCTACAGCATTGTGCCCACCCAGTGGTTGTCACTTGGCTGGGCACACAGTCCCAGTGTCAGCCACAGCACTCCCCTGGTCTTGCGGGCAGAAAGGCAAAGCTGCTGTAGAGTGAGGCTCAGGGGAGGGAGGAGAGCTGCAGAACTGAGTGTGCCCCCACTCAGATGCTGCCTCCAGGGCTGGGGATTTTCTGGGCATTCCCAGGAGGTGAGTTGTGCCAATGCAGTGGGTTGCAGTAGTGCTGCTGTCACTTACCTTCCTCTTCACATCGAAGGGCAGGGTGACGACCAGTGAGCAGTAGAAGGAGAGCTCCAGCAGGTAGAACCAGCCCAATGCAGGTAGGAGAGGCTGTGACACAAACAAAAGGCAGCATGACAACCCTTGCTTAGCCTTCGGGGACAGGAAAGGACAAGGCTCTTCCCAGGTAAGCACATTCATTCAGACTGCATTTGGGACAGCAGGGCTGTCATATCTACATTGCCCCATCCTCTGTGACTGAACTGTTTGCTGCTGTGCTGGTGGCCGTGCTGAGGGCAGGACAAGTCCCAGATCATCACAGAGGAACTGAGGGGAGCCAGGTTCACCCATTGGACTTTCTGTCCCTATTCCTCTTCAAGAATTCAAGGGTTGTCCTGACTGCCTGGTCCCTTTTGTGGCTCCACATGTGGAGCTGCTTCTAGACAGGCTTATATTACAGAGAAACTCATAGAGAAGAGGTGGCTGCTCAGGGTTGAGGCAGGACAGCCTCCTGCTGCTCCTCATACACACCGCCTGCGGGAGCTGGTCAGAAAGACAGCCAGGTTTTCACTGTGGTTCATGATGGGAGGGTGAGAGGCAACATGCATGGTTAGAAACAAGAGGTGGATCTAAGGGTCATGTGCATCTAATGGTCATTGTCCTCATGACCATTTTCAAACAACAGGACAGGTTGCCTGGGGACATTGTGCAGTTTCCATCCCTTAAGGTCTTCAAAACCAGACTGGAGAAAAACCTGCTCTGACAACCTGCTCTAGCTCATGGCTGGCAAGAAACCTCCTTCCAACCTGAGTTATCCCACTGACTTGCAGCTCACCTGTTGTGGATATCTCAGCCAGCACAAAGTGTGATCCCAAACCCATGGCTTCTGCACAAAGAGAAGGCAGCAGTAAGAGTCCATATCCCTAATAGTGTACATCAACAGCATGAAAGAGCACTTCAGTAAGCATATGGTGTCAGAGTGCTTGTGGTAGAGCCAATCTGCCCCTGACCTTTGCAAAAGTGAATGGCAGTTGTCAATGGTGAATGTTCCACCAAAAGTGATGATACCCAGTGGACAGTGGGTGCAGCCAGGACAAAGAAAAGTGTGGTGACACCACAGCCACATAGCCAGGCCCATATCTGGAGAAGGGGGATGTTCTGCTGGATGCAGATTGGGAATGGTTCTGTGCCACATCCCTGAATTTGTCCTTCTTTTACTCTGAGACTGTGGTCCAAACCCATAGTCATGGCCACGCATCATCTATGGATTCTTTGGAGCGTTCTGGGAGCATCAAACTTATTTTCCATGAATGAGGAACACCTGGAAGATGTCACCACACAGTGATGTACGTACTTACGTCGTATAGGAGAGTCACGCCAGAGAAGAATGATGTGAAATAGAACGTGAATCTCCAGCTAAAACAGAAAGAAACAAAGAGGGAATTATAACTCCCTCTGGAGCTTGGACACCTCCCCAGGCCTTGCCATCACATCCAGCACCCAACTGGAAAGCAGCAAAATGGGTGTATTTAGGCACAAGGGCTGCAGAGTAGAAACAGAGCAGAAGGAATAGGTGTGGGCAGATGGATGTGGGATCCCACCCTACCAGGTGCTCTCCCACCAGCTGAGAAGCCCACGGGGGTTCTGTTTGGACACCGATTTGCAGCACCTCAGCTCTGTTTGTATATGCAGCAATATGCTGGTAAGGCAGTGGGGTACCACAGCTCACCTGGGTTCTGCTGTGCCCAAATCCCAGACGTACACTGCCAGCATTAAGCAGGACGCAGCATCACTCCTGAGGTTTCTCTACCTGTCTCCTTTTGTGATGTGGGAACAGGATTCAAGCACTGAGAAACGTTGTTTTCAGAGAACGAGGAACAGTGGATCTTGTACCTGATTGGAGCCTCTTAGTACATATAGTTTAAAGCCTCAAGCTGAGATCCAACAATAACATGATCCTTTTCATCTGGACACTCCTCTGTCCTTTCTGATTCCATATATTGATGCAATATGCATTAGGATAATATAGGATGAGAGGGAATGGCCTGAAGTTACAGCAGGGAAGATTCAGATTGGACGTTGGGAACAATTCCTTCTCCAAAATAGTGGTCAGGCACTGGAATGGGCTGCCAAGGAGTGGGGGGTCACCATCCTTGGAGGTGTTCAAGGATCATGTAGATGTTGTACTAAAGGACATGGTGTAGTGGGAAATATTGGTGGTAGGTGGACAGCTGGACTGGATGATCGTGGAGATCTTTTCCAACCTTGGTGATTCTATGATTGCAGAATCACAGAATTGCAGGGGTGGAAGAGACCTCAAGAGATCGAGTCCAACCCCCTGCTAAAGCAGTTCCCTACAATAGCTTGCACAAGTCAGCATCCAATTGGTCCTGATTATCTCCATAGAAGGAGACTCCACGACCTCATATGAGAGTGGAAAGTACAATGTGAGCTGCCATGCAGCTCCTTGTTGGAGGTTCCCATCCCCGTGTTGGCCCACCTACCTCGCCTCACAGAACCTCTTTGTAAGTCTGGGATGGTCCTGGGCCCGCCGGTGCCGGAACCAGGTCTGCACTGTTCTGACTGGCAGGCCACTTTGCTTGGCCACTGAGATCAGGTCCTCCTGCAGAACAGATGGGGAAAGCAGCGCTTTGCCTTCCTCTTTCTGTCTCC